AACTAGTTGAGAGAAGTAAGACGAACCAGGTGAGAAAAGTGAGACAAACTAGTTGAGAGAAGACTAACTAGGTGAGAGAAGTAAGACAAACCAGGTGAGAGAAATAAGACAAACCAGTTGAGAGAAGTAAGATGAACCAGGTGAGAAAAGTGAGACAAACTAGTTGAGAGAAGTAAGACGAACCAGGTGAGAAAAGTGAGACAAACTAGTTGAGAGAAGACTAACTAGGTGAGAGAAGTAAGATGAACCAGGTGAGAGAAGTAAGACAAACCAGGTGAGAGACGACAAACCAGGTGAGAGAAGAAAGACGAACCAGGTGAGAGAAGTAAGACAAACCAGGTGAGAGAAGTAAGATGAACCAGGTGAGAAAAGTAAGACAAACCAGGTGAGAAAAGTAAGATGAACCAGGTGAGAAAAGTAAGACAAACCAGGTGAGAAAAGTAAGATGAACCAGGTGAGAGAAGTAAGACAAACGAGGTGAGAGAAGACATACTAGGTGAGAGAAGTAAGACAAACCACGTGAGATAAATGAGACAAACCAGGTGAGAGAACTAAGATGAATCAGGTGAGAAAAGTAAGACAAACCAGGTGAGAAAAGTAAGACAAACTAGGTGAGAAAAGTAAGACAAACTAGGTGAGAGAAATAAGATGAACCAGGTGAGAGAAATAAGATGAACCAGGTGAGAAAAGTGAGACAAACCAGGTGAGAAAAGTGAGACAAACCAGGTGAGATAAATGAGACAAACCAGGTGAGAGAACTAAGATGAACCAGGTGAGAAAAGTAAGACAAACCAGGTGAGAGAAATAAGACAAGCCAGGTAAAACATGAGACAGATTATGAGAAACATGAGATAGATTATGAGAAACATGAAACAGATTATGAGAAACATGAAACAGATTATGAGAAACATGAGACAAACCAGGTGAGACATTAAACAAAGCAGCAGGAGAATAATGCATTCAGGTCTTTGTGTCAAAATGAAGTAAAACCAGAATAATCCTTTTTTTTCCTTCTTTTGTCTGGAACACTTGTTCTGTTAAAGCCTCAGCTCTTTTTGTATCGACTGTTTCTGTCAAGCTGCAGGCAGGAGACACAGCTCTGCATGTTGCTGCTGCTCTGAACCATAAAAACATTGTTCAGCTCCTTCTGGCAGCTGGAAACAACGGGAGAATTCAAAACAAGGCAGGGCGAACCTCCAAGGTTGGTCAATGTAAATATAATTTACTGGAAATATGAAATCAGCTTTTTCAATATTTTATAGGTAAAGTCTGAAGGGTTTTCTCAGAAACACAGGTTTGTCTCTGAGAGCACATCTTTTGTCTTTCAGGCAGAAAAAACCTCCCCGGATAAAACCAGAGCCAAGAGGAACMAACAGACGGCTCTTCTTCTCACTAAATCTCCTCAGGTTCATGTCCTCATAATAAATGAAAATAAGAATCGGGAGTGTTTTACAAACTGAAACAGCTTCTAGATGTTGACGTTAAAGGTTCACAGTAAAGTCTGCAGTGTTAAATCAACACTTAGATTTAAATTTAACACCATGTCCGAGTCTATTTGGTCCTTATCTGAATTCGTGTCAGTTTAACTCTTTCCATAGTTTTACATTTTCAGAGTACAATTTAACTCTAAACAGAGTTAAAAATTAACACTGACTAACACTGTACAGTGTTAATAAAACTTAACACTTCAAGTCAAATAACATTAATGAGAGTAATTATGATTCTAAGCAGAGTTAATGAGGTACTCCACTGTGGTGACAAATCAACTCTGATTCTCATGCTTTTCAACACTGCATTGAGTTATTGATAGTTAACACTGGAGGTTCATTTACCTCCTATGAGTGTTAATTTGACACTCGACTGTGCTGATTATTTACTCTTTTGCTGGGTAGAGGGGTGTAAAACAGACTCTATGAGGTGTCTTTACACAGCAAAGTGTGTTTGAAAGTGTAAGTTTAACACTTCAGTGTTAAGATCAACTCTTAGTGTTGCATTAACATTACACAGTAATTTCTGGATAAGTGTAATGGTGTCGACTTTCACACACCAGGAAGTACCTCTCACTCGTGTCGATTTATGGCCAATAACACAAACTTAAACATGATCAACTGATAAACCTGAACAAAACAACTAACTAAAATAACTAATTTTTACACTCATGAACTTCTTTAGTAGTCATAAACATACAAAAACATAATTTCTAAAAGATTACCCAGCATTCCTTGCTGAGAAAATACTGGTCTGTCTGACATGAGGTGATGGAAGAAGGCGGGGCTTTTCAGAACGCTTTTTTCAACACTGCATGGTGTCATATAACAACACTGTTAGGTGTTATATAAGACTAACTGTGGGCGGAGCTTATTTAACACTGTCCAGTGTTGAGACAACACTGAGGAAATCAACACTGGAAGTGAATTTTCTCAGCAAGTTTTAAAATAACATTAGGGGGAGTTAAATTAACTCTGAAAAGTTTAACACTGATATTTTAACACTCTGGTTGTTTCCTTATTGGATCATTATAAAAGTCTTCTGCAGTGATGTCACCAGGTGTTTCTGTCCTCAGGTTTGTCACCTGAGAAGAACGAGGAAACACAGAGCCAGAGCGCTGCCAGCTAAAGTAAGAAAACTGAACGTTTCAAATCAAAAAACAGCTGTTTTCAGCCGGTTTCATGTCTGCAGGTCAGCTGCTCTCTGAAGGAGGGAACAACCAAACAAACTGAGCCCAGATCAGCCAGCAGAGTGAGTCCTGAGCCTCACCTGGACACGTCTGAGGATTCATTATGAGCCTTTATTCTTATGAGTAATTTAATGTTTCTGCAGGGTTTGACTGAAGAGGATCTCACTAAAAGAAAGAATCGCCTCCGACTGCAGAATGTTTGTGATGAAGATGAGGGCAGGAAGGTCCTTCAGCTCTACACTCTGTACCGAGACAAGGAGGGCAAAGTTCGACAGGTCAGAGGTCCAAAGTGTTTCAAAACAAGAAGTTCAGTTCAGCTCCTCCTAGTTATCATAGTAAACTAAAACTAAATAACGAAAACTGAAATTGAAAAAAMATTTTAGTTAACTAAAATACATAAAAACTGTATTAAAATGAAAAAATGATAACTCACAAAAACTTTATAATCTTGTTACAAAACTAACTAAAACTAACTCAAACTAGAAGCACTCAGRGAGTGCAAACCTCCACCAAGTCCAATTCCCCCCATCCTGTAAGAGTTAATGCGCAAAAGCAGAGATGGAAACACATTAGCCGAATAAGTTGTGACGTAGTGAACATTTAAGCAGCAGTATGCACGGGATTTCTTCTCTGTGGAGTCCAATGTGAAAAAAAAAGTCAGACTCGTCACCCGACATTATTGTTGAAAGCTTTCACATCGGTGCTACGTGATTCAAAAAAGCAGAGTTTTCCTCGCGCGTGTAATCACACAGACACACACGCGTCTTCCTATCTTTGTGAGGACCACACACAGCGGTCACAACCACGCTCTGCGCATTCTTTTTCCTCCAAAGTTTGGCGAGAGGTGGATAGTGGGGCGCACAAAGAGCTCTCGACTTGATCTGGCCTCATTTAAATAATAATAAAAATGAACAAACAAACCAACCAACAACCTCCGAGTCTGAAGTCCACAGCRTCACTCCAATTCCTCGATCTTCATCGATCTGCGTACAAGCCTACCGACAATGTGGTGTGTTAGAGGAAATGGGAAAAATAGGTTTCATGGTGCAGTCACGTACTTCGTGGTCACAAAACGTTCTCTAAATGTGCACCAAATGTGTAAAAATGTGCACATTATGGCAAGAATTATTCATCGTTACATCTGGTTTTAATATTACTTTTATAAAGTTTGAAGTCCAAACACTGAAAGCTCTCGCTGCTTTTTACAGAAGCCCTGTGAAAGCATCACAGCTTTGCCGATCTCAGAGGATTAAATGAAAAAAATTTCCGTTATCCGCAACGTGATCCAGAACATCACCAAAATTTARTAGTGTGTTCTTTGTGCCAGTATCCACATGTGGTGTAAATGTCATGACAATACGTCCACAAGTTTTTGAGAAATGTTGTCCACAGTCAGAACGACAGAATGACAGAATTACGCGACTGAAAACATTACCTTGCCCTTGGCGGAGGTAACTATAATGAACAATCCTAAACTTTTATAACCTTGCTCCTCTGCAGCAGATCTGTGTTTTTATTCTCATTTATTTATTTATCAGTGATAATCAGACGCTTCTCCTCAGGCTCCGGCCGGCAGCTGCCCCTGTGAGCCGCAGCTGAAGAAGCTGGAGCATCAGCTGAAGGCCTCAGAGGAGGAGGTGAGGCTGCACATCCTGAACGTCCAGCAGGAGGTCAGCAGGTGTCTGGACAGGGCGGAGCGCAGGACCCGGCAACAGGTCAGCGTCTCCGCAGGTTAAAAACCATCAGACACCTGCAGGAGCTCTGACRCCTCACGTTTCTTTAAACAGCTCAGAGTGTTGGACCTCCTGACCCAGGAGACCAGGAGCATGGTGCTGAGGATGGAGCAGGAGGCTGCACGGGTCAGAGCCGAAGACCGGAGGGTTCAGGTAACTACGGGTGCAGAAGGAAATGTAAAAAATAAATATGTATTTTTATTATTTAGCTCACTGTTTTTACATTTAGCTCATTTTTACAAAATGTTAAATTTAAATGTTAAAAAATAAATATTTAAATATTAAATCCTAAATTTAAATATTTAAAT